CACATGGCGGACACACGAGATACTGACTTGTGATGACATTTTCTCAGAGACTAGTGTTGTGTTTCACTTTAAGAACATTTGACACTTTAATTTCAACCTTGATGATCAGTTTTGCCAAGTTTCATCATTTTAATATATCTCAAAGTATGTTTACAGCGTTTGGACAAATAAGGTTTCTCATATGTCTATCCATGGTGACGTTTCTTTTGCGGTTTCGTTTTATACTTCTTGGGGGGTACCAATAATATAAACAATATACATAATGTGGTATTAATTAACTTTTATATATACTCATATAAGATGAAAAGACGCGATCCAAATGTGAAGGCTAATATCAAACTATTAAAATGGAAATATTTAATGGGAACATGTAATGCTTTTCATTGTGTCAGTGGGATAAAGTTGAGGAAAGATTGTAAACTGTTATATTTCTTTTCAAGGATTCGTAAAACGTAATGCTGTAATAGCAAGTTAATGTATGTAATGTATGTGTCAACATTTTTGTCTTACCGTCAGTTGTAATAGCTTGTTACACTGTTATTAATAACATACCATATATCTATCTGAATATATCCTGTTTACTATGTTATGTACTATTATGAGGCTGTCCCTTTTTAGTGTACGAGCGTTCTTGTAAATAAACATTTAATAAAATGACTTATGGTCTAAGATTCTAGACATGTTCCTGGTATTTACAACGTCAGGTCACATATTGGTTGTCAGTACGTTTTGTTATGTGGCAGTATCTATCGTAAGTTAATTATATCATTGTTAGTGGCAACTAACTGAATATTCGTCAAGTGTCGCTGTTCCTGGATAGTTTTTGTTGATAATATGTGAGTTATCCGCCTTAATGTATCGACAAGGGGATAGACTACACTATTTGAGAAGTGTCTGAAAGGCTGGCTACACCTTTCGAGGCCCTCTACGAAGTGACTTGCCCAGAACAGAGCATGTGCCGCATTCATGACATTCCACTGTGACACATTTTGGACTTTCATGAGTGCACATAGGTATGCAAAAGGGCATTGTTTATTGTTATGCTGCCACATATTTGATCCACTATAATGCCTTTTGGGATCGTAAACCAAATCCTGTTTGTTTCAATGTAATCTATTGAGTGTTCATTGACCTTGTTTGGTTATTAACTGATGTCATAATTTAGTTCGGTGTTAACGTTCATATTTCAATTTATGTTGGTTTATAGGTAGTGATATACTCAAATATAGTCCGTATCTCTGCCGAGTGGCCGTATCCGATACACTTGCAGAAGTTATATATCGAGTCATGTATGACCACTGGTCAAACAAGATCACCGCATCGACACTGCCACATCAAGGCTCGAAGGAATCCCTTTTCATTGGAGGGAAAACTGATACTTGGTAATTTGCAGTTGTCTGGACTGACTGTTTCTAATCATTTTCTGCAAAATGTTATGTCTTAGTTGGTTCTTCTCTATGACGCGCGCTGAATGTTTACAAACCGCTGAGAAGCTGTTTGAAAATGGCGGCTGTTTTAATTTCAATACAAGTGTTCCTACTGTCGCACATTATAATCCTGGCATTATCATTCTCGCATATGAATCCTGATGAATGTCAATCTGATGATCCTGCCATCATTTCATGTTTGAAGAACAATCTTGGCCCGCAAATGATATAAAAAATAAAGCATGCATGGTTACGAAGAATGAAGAACTTTGCCTGGACACTATTAAAACCCCATAGCTTTTTGCCTTCAAGAAGCGTATTCAAAAGAAAATGATCAGCTAACTGTACGTCAATATAGCAGGTATAATTCACATGCTTGGTTATTAATGGTAAAGCATCTGGTGGCATGCAATTTTTTTGTTAATCAGGGAACAGCCCACAGTCCTGTTTCGTGAAATTCGAACCTATCGACTGTGACTGTCCGTTTAACTCTCCATATTACCCAAACTGATGTTTGTCATACAGTCCTTTATCATCAACGTTTCACATAAAGGATCTTGATAAACTGTTTGACTGTTTGAGCTGAGAAAACTTTCATTAAACATCCCTCCAATGATAACTTGAAGAATGCAATAATTAATCGAGTTAAGGCTCGTAGATGTATGAAACAAAAACGTAGTTTGAAACATTTGTTTCCATAATAGATACACGCAATCTCCTTACCAAAGTGTGAAATATGATTTGCAACTTCAAAGCTAAAAAGATATAACTGACTGAAACAATATACATAATGCTTCTTCTGCCAATTCTTCTACATAACATTCCCATAAATCAGAGTGAAAACCTAACTCTGACGACTATAACGAACCAGCTCTTTGAGCAAATTAAATAAGGCTCTTGACAAGGCTAATGACAAGGTTTAGATACAGCATCAGAGACTGATGATATTCTAATTCAATTAACAATTACTTAAACAACCACCCGGGGAATCTTTCCTGGCTCTTATTAAATACATTCAATAATATTTGGGAAACAGGGAATTTCCCCGCTTCTTGGCATGAAGCACCCATTATTCCTGATCACAAAACCGGTAAGGATCACGCAGTTCCTATGAATTACACCCTATTGCTTTAACGAGCTGTGTCTGCAAGACCATGGAATGTATGATAAATGGTCGACTCGTCAATGGTTCTTTAGTTGTTGATGATTTTCATGACGTGCAACTTACATGAATACCATTGAAAAACAATAACAGTTGTGTTTTAATACCATACACAAGTTGTTACTGGAAAACGGTTTAAATTTTCCAAAACTGAAATATTTTGTAACAAAAGCAAAATGCATAGGGATCCAGGGTTTACAATATAACTCCCATTGAAGTTAAAGAAGCCATAGTTTTAGGCATTAAATTTGATCATAAATTAATTTTATTCAGCATATTAAGAATCTTAAAGCTACACGTAAAAAGGCACTTGCTATTCGAAAGGTTTTGAAATTTGTAAAAACAAGCTAGTCCCTGATATGTTTTTATTATTCAACGGGAGCTTTATCTCAGCTACAACCAAAATGTACAGTTGTTTCACACTGTCCATCAGTATCAACTGCACTAAATTATTTAGATAGATGTAAAACTCCGTTTCCGGCGGCTTCTCTCTTTATATACTCTGTCTTTTGTACATATTTCATTTGTGATATTATATAATGCTAATCATGTCAGTATTTCGAGAGAGGGCTACCTAAGATGTGAAAACTTGTACCCAATCCTTTCCCTTGTGAATAAAGGTTGTTTCAAATACAAAATGGGGTAGGGGTTGTGCCATATCTGTTCACCTCCACAGATCGTTGTTTCAAAAACATGTACAGACAAACATTTTTGGTAGTTAAAGATAAAGACCCCTCGTACAAACGTCTGTACACGGAGAGAACATAATCATCCTATTTTAGCTGAAATGTGTAGTCACCATCTGGACATATCTCAATCATATCTGGATATATGGTTGGTTAGGTTATCGTGTTTTGCCGCCTGCCCACACGAGCATAAGACGCAGATTCTGAAGCAAAATTTGCACTTCAATAATCAGTTTCCAACACTAATATATATGACGTTAAATGAGCCAATATGTTAAAAATCAGAATGAACAAATGTTAAATAAGCTTAAATAAGCCAAAATGAAACATAAATCAAACCAAACATAGGACATTTTTTCAAGTTGTAATGCGACAATGCCGTATATGACATAGTTACTATACGCATTCCTTTTTATTGAAAGATGACGTCAATGCATCGCTTTCAACCGTCCAATCACCTGCCATCGCGCACATTTTGCCCCGGTGTGTGGACTTTGCACATGTCCGACAGCGTTTTCAGAACTGTTTCTAAAAACCTGATTTTAGCATGTTTGACTATTCTATGTGATATTGGATTAAAATTATAGTGATCTTCAACATCACTTTTATTGGGGTTATCAATATAGTAGGACTGCAGACATACCTCGCTTCCATGGTCTAGTGGTAGAGCGTCAACCTGGATAGCATAAGGTCCGGGGTTCGATCCCCGGCCGCGACATACCAAAAGACGTTAAAATTGGGTGAGTGAGTTTGGTTTTACGCCGCTTTTAGCAATATTCCAGCAATATTCGGCGGGGGACACCGGAAATGGGCTTCACACATTGTACCCATGTCGGGAATCGAACCCGGGTCTTCGGCGTGACGAGCGGACGCTTTAACCACTAGGCTACCTTTCTCGCCGCGAAAACATGTAGTTGCAAGATAGCTGATACGGCGTTAAGTAATATTCACTTACTCACGCGTTCACTCGCACCCTGATGGTGTGCGAGAAGTAAATTTAGGCAATAATGCATATATAATACACATGGAACATTTAACGATGATTATCGAATACGCTGTTCATTATGAAAATACCAATCCCAACTACGCCCATCGATGCAATAAATAGTGTATTTGGAAACCACCTTTAATACCCTCTGTCTATCTTTTGCTGTGTAATTTCATCTATATTTTCCTTTGTATTTTGATACTTAGCCAGTAATGCATATAATTGTGTCATTTAACTAAGTTGTGTATATGTCTGTCGTGCTTGCTTATTTACTTTCGGGGGCATGGGTGGCCCAGTCGTCTAAGGCGCCGCGATTCGCTGTGCAGAGTTTCGTCCCTTGGGCACGCCAGAAACCTATCATTCAGGGTTCGAATCCCGGTTCGCCCCAATTATGTTTCTAGGTTTGTCAGCACCATACCCGTGCTCGTGGGTTTCACCGAAGTGGTAAACGTCTGAGACCTGCATCACTTTGGGCTTTCCTCCCACATTAGGCTGACACGCCGCGATATAACTGGAATACTGTTAAAAGCGGCGTTAAACCAAACTCACTCACTCACTTATTCACTTTCATCCACGTATGACCTTCCTGATCTAATAGAATAATTAGGAAAAACTCGGTGGACCTACAGAGACTTCATTTTCTGGTATTGTACTGTACTTTAGTTAATGATAAAGTGCATTGTGTGAAGCACTTTACTGTTATACTTTTTATATTTCCATTTATTCCTTCTTTTCAGATCTTTTGAAAACCAAGCTAAGAGGTCTTGTGATGGCTTCCCTTGCATGTATTCGCACCTTGGAGCCAAAGCCGGCCGGCAGGCACTGATGAGAACATTGATGAGTATAATAGACGACTGTGCAGTTGATCCATCCTGCTCACCTGGTAGGTTAACACATCTATTCTGTAGCTTTAGGGGTCGTTCAATATTTCATAAGTATGTCTATCACTAAACCTTAATGATGATAAAATAGGCTGAAAAGGAAAAAAGGTCTGCAGATTATAAAATTGCTATTGGTGATTGGTGTTATAGTTTGCTCTGGTTGGGTTTGGTTTGGTTTCAGTATACACCACTCATTGCTTCAAATGGAAAGAAAATAGTTTGCAAACTAAGCAATTTTAAGACATGGCTGTTTTTTTCTGGCAGCGTTTGTAAAAATATTTCCAACATTGAAAATGTTCACGAGTTTAAATTCGATTTTTAATATGACCGCTACAGGGGCCATTTTAAGAATTCACTTATGGTACAACTTATAAACCTTGTCATAGTTTGATATGGGCGTAAGACGAATGTTCCGAGGCCAATGAGGATCCGGGTTAGAATTGGTCTTCAGCAACCCATGCTTGTCGTAAGAGGCGACAAACAGGATCGGATGGTAAGGATCGCTGGCTTAGTTGATGAATGCTACCACATGCCAATAGCTAAGAACGATGCTTATGATGTCAATCACAATTGTCCAGTATTTACAGACCGCCGTCATAAAGCAGGAATATTGCTGACTCTTGGATTTTTGCGATATTTTAATTTGGCAAGCTTGTTTCTTCCAATAAAACATCAGACATCATTGTGTTCAAATCGTTGTTTTGTCGAAACTATGACCATGAAGAGTGTAGAGAGCCCAGAGCTCCAAGCCTTAGAAGGGTTCAACTTCTTGTTAATGATAAAATTACAATAGCTACAAATAGATTCATTTTTTTCAAGGCATCATAAAAGGTACTATGAACAAAATTGCAGAACTGCTTTGTTTCAATCAAATAGTCTACATTTCGGCATTGTGCTTGTCACTAAAATACTATAATTTCATCAAAATTATTTGGTTACTAGTATTAATTTTGAAACTTTGGAACTTACAAATGCTTAACAAAATATATTTAGCCAGAATAGTTGAAACGTGTGAGTGGTGAGGAAGTTACTTCGTGTCACATGTAAAAACAAGGTTTAAACGCTCACTGAAATGGGATTACACGATCTAAATAAAAAGTACATGATTGTAACTTCTATAGGATGGGACCCTGCCATGAAAATGCAAAAGGTCAACATCATAAAAACATGTTTTTTAGATTCTAAGCCACTGTTGTCTGCACAAGCATAACATGTTTTGTTTGTTGAATAAGGTCGCATTCTGCAAAATTACAACGATCTGTACATAATCGTATTTGGATCAGACAATCCAGTGATTGACATCACGAGCATCGATCCACGCAATTGGAATACGATGACATACTAACAACCAAGTCACCGGCCTGACCACCCGATCCATTTAGTCGCTTCTTACGACAAGTATAAAATGATTATTATCGTGGTCACAACATGGTCACAAGTGTGTGTGTCACGGTGACTGTGTTTGCTTTACGGCGCTGGGATTCCCCAGCAACGTATGCTCGCGGTAAGAGGCGACTAAATGGATCGGGTGGTCAGGCTCGGTAATTTGGTTCATGCAAGTCATCATTTGCGTAGATCGATGTTGATGATGTCAATATCTATATTGTCTGGTCCAGACTAAATTATTTACAGACCGCCATCATATGAACTGCCGGCAGAAATGGTTTAAAATGCAATGGATCGTTGCCCAAACTTCACAGATAATGAAAAAGGTTAAAAGATATGCCACGTTTTAAACTGCACAACAGAGATAGAGGGCCGTAGGAGTTAGGAAAATGGGTGCCACACCCAGATTGTATGAAACTTCAACTGTACATGTGCAGACTATTAGAGACAGATATACAGGGCAGGGCAGGGCAAGACAGAACACCCATGACGACGTCACAGGAGAACCGATACTTGCGCATGTTCCATTCGCTGTTGAGAATGCCTTGTAATGTGAACCAACTCAAGCTGATCACGACAATCCGTGCTTCACTCTGCGACCTCGATATACCTGGGCCACCATGTGCACGTCACCTGTTCTGACATTGATACGAAATTGAGTTTAACCCGTCAGCATTATGTCTCCAAGAGACGTATCTTAAACATGCAATACATATCCATCGAATATGCATATCTTGTGTGTTTCATTTTTAGCCACAATGAAACATTTGTGTATTCTACATTTTGTCCGGCAGTTTATTGAAATATTGGTGACTGACGCGTTTAAAAAAAGACAATAGATCAGCACCAGAGGTGATGTTATTAAACTGGAAGTGCTCATAACTTTGTTATTAATGTAGATGGAGGACTAGGTGTTTCTGTTTCAAATTACTGCATTGGGAATGTGTTACCTGAATTTTTGTAAAGTATAAATGGTTCATTCAGGAAAAGGTGGGAATGAGGTGGCTTCTGGTTTAACGTTTACTGCAAACACCTTCCTTGTGACTGTTTTCCTTCAACATTTACTTACGAGTAGCTCCAAATACCGCGAAAATTGCAAATGCGATGGTGACTATAATTGCAAATTAATTGATCATAGATGCTGTTAAAGTGCAGGCCAAACAAAGCGGGCAAAACTAGAGAATGAACAAGTTAAGTCCTTTCCAATCTACTAAATACGTGAAGAAAACAGTCTTGCTAAACTGCATGCTATATTTGTCATTGTTCCAACTGACAAAGCGACAAATAACATCACTTTCATTTGTAAGAAACATATGGACTGTCTATACAAGGAACTAAGCATGATATGTTATCTTCTAATCAAAAGTACAAAGCCTTACTTGTGTGCCTGAAAGGAAAAAAAATGTGAAATATCGAAAATGAATAATTTCTACATATACGTAAAATTACTACAACATCTTTCTTTATGCTGGATTTCTAGACTTCATAAAAAGAGACTACAAACCCTTGTCAAAACTACTTACAATAATTCTAACAGAAATCAAGCAAGGCAAGCACGTTCAGAGAATATTTGAGACAAATGGAGTTAAACATGTAGATCTAAAAATGTTTAAAATATTTACTTTAAATTATACAATCTCAGACCAAGAAGAAATGTCATGTTTAGAATTATGTTTCGCAGCCTTTACACACCCTTTATCCCTCATAAAAAATATATAGTAATTAATTTATTTTATCTATAGGGCTTTTGTTTCCAAGAAGAGGGTACGGGAATTTAATTCTGAATGGATGCGAACAATTGTTTATACTGAACTTACTCTACTCAGAAATATTCAGATACATAAATAGGTAGAACATTTAGACAAGCAATAGGGATCCCATGGGTACTACCTGTACCTCTCTTCCAGCTAATCTGTATCTCTTTGCATACATTTCGGATTGTCTTACTACTTTTGTTGTAAAGGAGACATTGCTAGCATGTTCTATCTCTGTGTCAGATATATAGATGACCTTATTTAGCAATCAAATGAACGAAACGTGACTGCTTTATGTTTCGTTGGAATTTGACAGCCGCTGGGGATTTCCCCGATCCTTACCACACAAAAACTATTGACATCTCATATTCTTCTTCCATGGACACTAAACTCATGTTTGGACATTGTTCGTGACAGAGTTTGTTGAACAGGAGATTGAAGCAGAGCAAAGAGAAACGAGGTGGTATATCGTTGTGGTGGCGCCCATGAGAATTCAGATTGTCAAAAGACATCAAATGTGTAAACTGGTGGCAGTCATGTTGTTTCTTCCAAGTTTCAGTATTTGATTTTCTCATGCAAAACAGCTATATGCCAACCAGACAAAAGTTGCCTGGATGATAACTTACTCTGCTGCGGTCACCCGCAGTCTCAACTGCATCTATCATGTGTCAGACTGAGTTCACACGAGTACATTCAAATGAGCCTGTTACAAATTCAAACAGTGGATCACACTGAAACAGTAACATTTAAAGCAGACGTTGTAAACAAAACAGATAATTTAAACCTAGGACCTCTCCTTCGGGAGTGAACGTGCAACGTGCGAGTAAACTCGTTTGATCCTCTGGACATCGCATGACTCAATCGTTGAATTTGGTCCAGTGGAATTGCAGTGAGTTTAAACCGTCAGCAGTATGTCTCCAAGAGACGTATCTTAAACATGCAATACATATGCCTTAAGGCAGTATAATTGTCATCACTCATTTTCATTCACAAATACTAATCGTCAAGCTGTTGCTATCCGCCTTACCTTGCACATTGCAACTAATTCGTCATCCTTGTATATTCCACCTTCATGTGCCCTTCGACAGTCCGAATCCATATGATGAGCTCCTTTAGTCCTGCATCATCATATGCACTTTTAATGTGCAGAACCCTCTATGGGGAAGTGCACTTACGAACAATAAGGATTTTTATCGAGGATTTTATTTCTGATAACAATGTATGTGCATTTAATGATGATTCTGGCACCTACTTACATCCTGCCATTGGAACTTACTCTATCGACGATCTGTCCCTGACAGATTCAAACGTTTACAATGATTTTGAATGGTCTGTACATGATGACCTTTGCGAAAGTGATCACTTCCTTGCTGCCATGCTGTCCACCTTCATCACTGTGGAATTTTACAAAGGACATTTCAAAACGTACCAGATCTAATTCAGTTCCTTTGGGATCAACTCAATGAAATTGCTGACCAAGCAATTCCTTAGTCCTCTTCAAATCTTCTTATTTGTAAACCATGGTTTAATAATGAATTAAAAGGTTCAAAATCTTAAAGAAGTTCACGATTTAATAGCTGATTAATCTGATATTGTAAATACACAATTATTTTCGTCATATTATGTTCCTGAGTCTCAGACATATAAAAAAAAAACAGGAAAAGAAAACAAGAGTCATCAGAAGATGATAACTTCCCCCGACCCCCACAATAGCAAAAGGCAACACTTCAGCCCCTGGTTAATACCAAGTTACCAAGTTTGGATAAAAAGTTTCACGGTTTACAAGTTATGCTCCAGAAACGAAATACAGACGGACGGGTGGACAGATAGACCAGACGATGACTATATCTCTCCGCATTTTA